ATGTTTCTGAGTTCAATCGGGGAAACTAGTGAGTACAATTCCCGTATCTATGTGATCGCGAGAAGACTGAAGCTACTTTAGCCATTGCGCTTTCAGCAGGCTCAAAAAATCTCAGTACCTCCGTATCTCCTACTTCGCTGGACATGGCTAAGAACTTGGAGCATGCTGAACAATTATTCTGGTCTTACCTTAGTGGTTTGGGTCAAAGGGGTTATGTTCCAGACATTCGAGAGTCATCCATGTCCATTGCGGTGATCAAAACCTTTCAAGCCTCATTGGGAAGATTCGATCCAAAGACCCCATCGCTCACGGCTGGCCTTCTAGGTAAGCCCAGATGATTGTGCGCCGATGAAGCTGCTAATCCTCTATAGATGGTTCCTCTTCGCTCACCTTGCGCAGTGAAATGCTGGAGGCTATTACAAACAAATTTCCCGCGATCTCTCTTCATGAGGAATTAGGATGGCCCAAACTCTCTGATTCCGGTGCACCCTTGTCTTACCTTCAGAAGCCAGAGGTCGCTTCAGATGACTCTGACTCTGACTCCGGCAACCTTGATGATACTTCGCTCAAGAAATATTGGGAGGCCGTCAGACAAAGGCATCAGCCATATTCTATGAATGCTAAGACCTTCACTTCTTCCGTGGTCTCCAAACTTCCCCAGAATTGGACAGTCGCTCACATCTCTGTCACGGAAGACAAGAACACGATGTTTATATCTCGTCAACGTGGCGGATGCCAGGCTGAACCTCTAGTCTTCTGCGTTCCATTGAAGGGCAGAAGAGAGGACATGGCTGACGAACACCTAACCTTTGAAGATGCGCTGACGGAAATGAATGAAATTGTCTCCCTCAGCAACGAAACCACCAAGATTGCTGCATCCATTCGGCATGATCCAGCCGCTAGATCCAAGTGGTGGAAAAAACGAGGAGGACTTGACACTCGTCTCTGCGAGTTGCTAGAAAATATCGAGTTTTGCTGGCTTGGGGCATTCAAGGTATTTCTACATGTACATCTTTTGAGAAAACATCTCATGTATACTCCTTATAGACCATTCTGTCAGTAAATCCTCAATTATCACCTCAAGCTATCAACAACCTTCGTATACAGTTTGACCGAGTCTTTCAGCGCGGTCTCAGATTACAGGACAGGAAAACTAAGGAACGAGCGTTAGGTCACAAGAAGATGCCTTCCGAGAGTTGTACACCTAACCGAGTAACCCTAGACGATGCTTTGATTGAATGTTTCTCAACTCTACCTCCAGATTGTCGAGACGAGGAGCTAGAGGATTTGGTGTATTTCATTCTCGATCTATACCAGTTCCATGGCGTACCGGTCGCTATTGCAGAGATTGACATTGATCAAGTCGTTGTCGATCTGCGATCTGTGATTCAAGAACATGCAGAAAAGTCGAAGAGCGTTGGACATGGCCATTCTGGGGCATTTGGGTACAATGGACGTCGGGATCACCGTGACGAGCATTTGTTTTTGGTTCTGGACAAGAATGTTCAGGGTTTACCTTGGGAGAACATCCCGATCTTGCGAGGAAGAAGCGTCAGTCGCATTCCTAGCATTTCATTTCTTCTTGATCGCATCCAGTTTGCACGACTTGCACAATCGGATTATCCTAATCCTGGTGGGTCATCGAACCCTGTTGATCGTGCAGTCTGCGATCCGAGAAATGTGTACTTTATCATCAATCCCAGCGGTGACTTGGAACGAACTGAGGAGCGGTTTAAGCCCTGGTTGAAGAGCATGGAGAAGGTCGGATGGCACGGCATCTCGGGACGTGCTCCGAGCGAGCTCCAAGTTCTCAATGCGCTTAGAACGAAAGATCTCGTTGTGTAAGTTTTACTGCTAGCTCGTACGAATTCTTGGACTAAGATAGATCGATCCCAAGGTACTTTGGACACGGAGGAGCAGAACAATATGTGCGTTCTCACAAGATAAGAAGTCTGCCTAGATGTGCTGCTGTCATGCTTTGGGGTTGCTCCTCTGGCGCACTCCGAGAAATGGGTGACTTTGATCGAGTGGGTACACCATTGAACTATATGTTGGCTGGATGGTTTGTCTTGTTTGCTATTGTCAAATTACAATCCACTGATTTTCTTTTTATCAGTCCTACACTGGTTGCTAATTTATGGGACGTCACGGACAAGGACATCGATACTTTCTCCCAGTCGGTGTTCGACAAATTGGACATGTCCCTCGAGTCAATTCAAAATCGATCTTCACGCCATACTCCAGTGTCGGTAGTGCAAGCTGTAGCGGAATCCCGAAACTCGTGCAAACTCAAGTACCTTACCGGGGCAGCTCCTGTTGTGTATGGAATCCCCTTTTATCTATGATACCTGCGATAGGAGGTCTATGCTAAATTTATGATCTACAATGTTTTTTTTGCTATGTGAAGTATTAACAAATTATCTACGGTATCCACTATGATTGACGCGACGCGCGTGTTACGGCACTCTTTCTTGAATATGACGCTCATCTCCTCAATACTTGCTACTTCTTTCAGGCTTGCTTCATTTTTATTTCTTCGGGTGGTATGTAATATTGAGCTGGACCATTTCAATTTGTTTCTATCCTGAATTTAGATCCCCTCCCCGATACTACAATCTGCTATTCCAGCGTTGTTCTCCTTATATCTACTCTCCGCCAGCGCTTCCTCGAAACCAGCCCGAAGCAATATCAATCCCGCGGCAGCAGTTCTTTTCTCGATAAAGACCCCCTCTCGAATCATTCGATGGACCAACATTAGCATAAACTCTATATTAATGCTTGCTTTCATTGACTTTTGCGCATCACCTTATTTCGATCATGCAAGCGACGTCGTATTCTCTAGAATCGGCGCAGTATCAGATAGTAGTGCCAAAATACTGGTCAGATATCCCAACCTCAACGAAACAATTCAACTTGTGTGGAGAGAGTCAAAGCCGAATGCACCTTGGAACAAGGGGGTAATCCTGAACTTGATACAGGAAAATGATTGGGCAGACACTGCGACGTTATCTGGGCTGTGGCCTAGCACAAAGTACGAATGTGAGTCGGTTGCTTCGTTAATTCTGCTTTCCTGAATGTTGACCGTGTAACTAGATGCATTCGCTGGTGCCAACGCCTCTTTACTTGCTTACCCGGGTTCCCCCCTAGTATTTCGTACCTTCCCTGATCCTCAACTCCCTGGTGGCACACATTTTCGCTTTGTGACATCCTCTTGTATTCTTCCAAATTTTCCTTACGCGCCACTTCAACGACGTAGAATCAGAGGTTTCGACCTTCTTGCAGAATATCTCTTTCCTTCAACACTAGTTGGTAGTGTTGTAAACGCAACTAACGATACTGGGTCTCTCGATGCGGAGATAACGGATGTCCCCACCTCGCTTCCACCGTCGTTCTTGCTTTTCCTGGGCGATTTCATTTACGCTGATGTCCCATTGTATTTCGGAAATACCAAGGAGAGCTATCGTCGGCTGTACAGAAGGAATTACCAGAGTTCTAGCTTCAGAAGAATATACGAAAAGCTTCGTACGTTCCTTCCACTGTTCCACTTGGGTTTAGCACCCACTCAATGTCGTTGTAGCCATGTTCCATACCTACGACGATCATGAAATCATCAACAACTTTTCTGGCGCCGGTAACGACTCCACACAGCCATACTCCAGCGCCTCTGATGCTTTCCAGATCTATAACGCCAACGGAAACCCCTCACCTCCTCCATCAACCAAGTCGCTCGATCATACCCCTTACTATTATGATTTCCGTTATGGAGATGTGGCATTCTTTGTCATGGACACTAGACGATATCGTTCATTCCCAAATGACCCTTCCGAGGAAAAGACAATGCTAGGCGAAGACCAATTGACCAGATTGCTTGACTGGCTGGGCAAGGTCCGTGTTTTGCGAGACTTCTACAACAACAATAGGCTCACTCTATTACAGGCAAATAGTACTGCTACATTCAAACTTATCGTGTCTTCCGTTCCATTCACATCGCTCTGGGGCCATGACGCTCAATACGACTCTTGGGCTGGATTCGTGAACGAAAAGCAAACACTCTTGAATGCTATGCACAGCGTTCCGAATGTGTTTGTGATCACTGGTGACCGACACGAGTTTGCTACTATTGAATTCGCCGCCCCAACTGAATCTAGCTTCATGGTCACCGAAATTTCGACTAGGTGCATTTCATTTTTACAATAACAAAGTTGAACTGCTTACACTATATTTTTTTTCAGTCCATTGAGCATGTTCTACGTTCCAATATATCACACACTCAGCATGCAAAGCATCGAAACGTTTACCAAGACACATACGGAACAAGTAATGATTGAAGCGCCCTCTGTGGCTGACCCTGATGTTGCAGAAAAACCTCACCCCACCTCCGGGGAAAACACTGTGTCTTGGTCAGATGAAGTGCCTGCTGAGACTTCAGAGGATATTCCCCCTGTCCTCTTAGAATTAACTGACGAACGCAAAGTAGGAACAAGAGTGGAGACAAGGAATACCACTGAACCTAAAGAGCGGGTAGTCAAGTACATTCCCGAAGGAAACTACAAATGGACATCGATAGAGATTGACACTCGCAATCCTAAGCGTCCAACACTCAACTTGGAAGTGGTGATCGACGGAAAGCCTAGCTATCAGTGAGTGGAAATTCCTGTAGGGAAGATACTTTCTACACATCAAACTCCTTAGGTACCAGGTAGTCGGGATCCCGGTCAAATTACAAGGATCGACCGCCTTGGGGGCATTTGTCTCTACTAACATAAAGGACATACTGAAAAAGATTGGATTACAACCTACGAAATGGTTTTAGTTATTTTCAGAGGCAATTGTTTGTTGTATCTTAACATGTACATCGCCGAGTCAACGAACTTGTGTGTGTACGTATAGCCAATGAGCGAGGGAGGAATTCTGCGCAAATTCTGATCAAGTGTTGTACATAATGTACCCGCAGTGTAAATAAAATTACTTGAGAATAGACGAAAGGATTTTTTATCATAGCCCCACCGCGAGGGTCGAACTCGCAGCCTTCAGATGACCGCCTTAAACATAAAAGTCTGACGCTCTATCCGATTGAGCTAGGCAGGCAATTATCATTAATATTTTAGTTTCCACTCTCTGAATATGTAGTGTAGTAGAGTAGAGTGTAATGCCAGTTTGTGTGGACGTAACTGGATGGTCATGCAGCATAGAATATGGACATTGGGATAAGGCCCAAAGGGCCTTCGGGTCTCAGCAACGGAGGGGCTCTGCATTCACGGTCAGCTGCGATTCCCAATTTGTAGGAGTGCACGACGCATCCAGCGACCATGGATCCCCAAAAAGGAAGGCGAGCACTTACAACATACGGGTGGCATAGTGTAGCAAATAAAACCTTGCTGTAGCTCCGGCTGCAAGTATGGCGCCATGATCTCGGCATGCTTCCGAAGGTAGAGCAGGAATGCGTCGCTCTTCCAACAGCCAATTACCCTCACTGCGTCGAATATTCAAGAGTTGCTCCGATCCGGATGCCATGGCCCTGAAGAGGTGTCAAATGCTGATTCTTGGCGGCCTTGTGGATACGAGTAATGCATGTGTTCTTGGTAAGCGGTCTACGGTGTGTCCTGCCTGTACTGACCCAAGAGTAAGTGGATAGGTGTTCGTGAGGTTCCGGCTTGTTCAAGGCGAGGTGCTGATTAAGGGCTGCATCTGGGTCCGAGATTCCGAGCTGTTTTGAGAAATAGAGATCTTTGCCATCATGCGGGCTACTCTTTGCCTGAGGGATATGAATGATGCAGGTGCTGAAACCATTACAGTCCACACACCAGCGTAGCTATGAAGATGTATCATGCTGATGTGGAGAGAAGTCCTTGATTGTTGGGACTGTTAGTTCTCCAACGTGTGCTGCACAGTAGAAAGATGTTGTGAGACATGCTTGGCAGGAAGCATCCCGGGGATTGCTTGGGTCAAGATCATCAAGCAGTTTTGTGATGTAGTCAATGGTGTAGGGCTGGCGCTTTTTACGGTGTGAACATGGTTGCATACATTCAGCACCCTGGACAATAGTATCAAACTCAGCTTTACTGATGTTCCACTCAGTGCCATGAATGATGTGCCATGCTCAGACACCATGCACATAATTCTTCACTGACATTCCCGCATAGTGACCAGCCATAGTGGCTATCCATGAGCTGAGTAAGTCACTGCTACACGGTGCACATTGAGACTCCGTGATGCTGCACAAGTTGCAGAAGACATGAAAGGCCAACAAGCCAGCTGCATACGTAGCAAGTGTGCTGCTGGCATAACCATGTATCAGTACCTGTTGCACCCACTCTTCAAACTCGTCGGGTAGGGTTAATGGTTCTCCGCTGCTGTCTCGAAAGACCCATGCAGTTGCAGGTTTCCACCTAATCAGTTGTTCACGAGCAGCACAGTGCGGGTGCAACAATGAGGGTAGTGGAGTCAAATTGGAAGGATATTGATGAATAGAATCAGTAGCTATGTTACTGAAGGTTTCATTAGAAGTAGCAATTGTGGGATACGTAGAAGTAGTGGGGCGGTTACCAGAAGGTATTCTGGAAAGTATTGAGTAAACGAGCTTCCTCTGTGAGTTGCCATTGCTCGAAGGATTTACGTCCAGCTCGCTCACTCAGCCTAGTCTCTGTTGTATTGCCTGTAGCAGAGCTTCGGATACTGAGCTCTTGGTTTGTGAGAGGAGATTTGTAGTCAGTGATAAGGTGTGTGAGTTCGTTTGGAATGGCAATACATGGGAGAAGGAGGTGTTTGGAGCCAACAGCACTGTGCGAGAAGCTGTCGGTGGGATTGTGAGCGCTGGGGATATAGCGGGTGTGGACACAGAAGTTCTGTGCTGCAGTGATTTCATGTACTCGGCGTAATAAATTGTTGATGGATCTGTTTCGGCTTCTACCATTCCACCAGCCCTCAACGACACCCTCATTATCACCCCAGATCTTGTACTCATGTCCTGGTGAAGCCTCTCTTGCAACAATAAGGGTGAGGAGGTAGAACCCAACTGCCTCTGCCCATCCAATGTCTCGTTCTTCTTCATCTGACCCTCTCCATCCGGGAAGGAGTCTGTACGATCGCCAGTAGCCGTGGATGCATAGGCCGATGCCATAGCCAGTGCTGGCGTCAGAGTATGCTTGGATATCAATGAGGGTTGTAGGGCCAGGTATGGGTGATGATATTTCCGACGATAGTGTACAACACCACCACTCAGAGTCTCCTGGCCAGTGTCAAGGTGGACATTGAGATCCAAATGGAGTGTGATTGAGATCAGCTATGAATTTCTCAAGCTCGATCAGATAAGCCTGGCCAATTGGATGTGCAAGGCTGACATGCATGAGCTTGCCATAAAGTTTGGTCACCTGCTCCAGATTGTGCTTCCTTTGCTGGTCCCACTCTGTGAGTTTGTCGAGATACTTGAGGTGCTTCTCTGCGGGGACCAGGACCATATGGCTACTTAGTATCCATTCAAAGCCAAAATAGACTGGATTATCACAGAACGGAATATCTTTGTCCAGTGCCCAGCTGTAGCCTAGTGGTAGAGTAACTCTATCTATGTCACAGAATGTGTATGTGTACTTGCTGTCTTCTGGTGGACGGGGTGATGTCTGCGAGAGATCCTGGATAGGAAATGAGAAGTCGTTATCGAATTCTTCAAGTAGCCCATTCGGCAGACTCTGACCTCTGTAAAACAGACAGCCGTTCTTATGCTGGATTCTGCCGGCATCAACTACTCAAACCTGTAGTTGCTTCTGGAGGGAATTGTACTCCTGTAGGAATTGTTTTCAGATGTGAAGCCATAGATGGTCGTCCACCCACTCGGTGACTGGCCCTAGGCCAAGACCATGGCTGATGTCCATACCGGCATCACCAACATGACCAAACGAGCCTCCGGCAGAGCGTAGACCAAACATGTCGTGTCTGTCTATGCAGAAGGAGTCTTCTGCTATCTGGATTACTGCTCCGGACCATTGTGATGGGTGTAGCAGGAGCATGCAGTAAGCTTCAGATATGTCTCGCACTGCACCTTAGGAGTGTGGTGGTAGTATCCATATAAGTCTGCAAGTGTTGGCAAATGTGCCCCAGAGGCAAGGATAGAGCGACAAGTCAATGTGGGAATTAATGGATGATATGGTGGGAGATAATTGTGAGTTTGTGCGATTGTTGTAAGGATAGGAGAGATTTTCTAGCAGGCGAAACTTCCCGGGTTTACCAGGCTTTAGTATCATGGAGATTGGAGAGGTTTGGAATGGTCCGAGGACCTCTTCTATGTTGGAACGAGAGAACGGGCCAAGCCAATGACCTAGTGCGAGTTCATTGGCCATTACGGTATCGAAAGCGTCTAGCTCTTCTATAGTATTGAGACGATTTGGAGGCAAATATGTACATCGAATGGTGGGAATGCCAACGTCGAAGCCGTAGTGTATGGTGTTGATTAGAGTGGGGTATTTGGCCAAAAGCTCGAGCGACTGTAATGTGTGTACCCAGACCTCAGCTTGTAGTGACGTGTGAACCTGTTGTTCACTGTCCTTCAGGGCAGCTTTCAGCACCATGCTTGGGACTTGCACAGCCTGAGCATCGGTGCTTCTCAGGGTAAGAGCTGCTGGTACATCCGTTAGGATGTTGCCAGTCCGCACAGAGCTCCACTCCTTTGTGGATGCCCGAACTGATTTCCAGAAAATTCCTGGCATTCCAATCACAGATGACTCTCTGCTTGTTATTCCATAGCGAGTTTCGGGAGCATCGTCACACATCATGCTTGTCTCTGCCAAGACATCGATGACACCGCGGAAGCTTTGGCTGGTCGATGTCCCGAAAGGAACGTTGAAAGTCAGAAGACTTATGTTCTGACTTCTGACTTTTGGGCGACAGCGCCGGATACGGAGTAGCGCAGTGGGATTTGTTTGGGGATTTGGGAAATCGACCCGTAGAGTAGCTTGGCTGGGAAGGGTTAGATGGGACAAGCTGGTATCTGGCTCGACTGAGTTCTGTGCGCAGGAGAGGGGGTGGGGGGACAGATAGAATTTGTTGGGGTAGCAGACATACATAGCGTAGCGTATAACGTTCACATAGCAGGTGGGGTAGCGATTGACCCGTAGGAAGTCCATATAGAGACAGCGGGTAGCGAGTGTAGCACGTCATGGTGCGGGTAAAGCGTGAAGCAGTTGGGTGTAGCAGAGTGGCGAGCAGAGATGTGACAAAATGAAAGAAAGGATGAGGGGTCTATTAGTTATCTGACCTTCAACAATTTTCTCGGATGCTTACCTTCGGTTGCTTTCCGATGTGCTTGTGTCCACATCTCGTTTCGGCATTCCTGCAGTACCGTCTCGGAGAACACTGAGAAGTCAAAGGGTTCACCACATTCAGCAGCGAGGTACCATGCACGTCACATTTCGGCATGATAGAGGGCCATGACGCGACTACCTTGCAGTTTTCGTAGCTCGTTGTGCATCTCCATGTTGGTGTAGAACGAGGCAAACATAGCAATGTATTTGTCTGGGTAGTTACCTGTGGGCCGTAAGCATTCAATGAACGAAGTTTTAGCTAACTGGACTTGTGACCAGGAGAGCCTGGCGTCGGGGACGACGTTATTCGAAAGTCTCATTGAGTGAGTACCCAGAAGTGTGAAGGCGGCGGTCCCTTTCTGCTCATCATCGTCAGCCGCCAATTCGAGCCGATTCGTATCCACCGTGCTGCAATGCTCTTTGGCTTCCTGCGAGGCCTCTGGCGTAAAGTACAACAGTTCCACGAACCTCCTCTGCGATACCTTTTTCTCGGCGTATGGATGTAAATGCTGAGGAATGGAGGTAATGCCGACACCACTGTCGAAGTCGTAGAGCGGGGCTCTCTTCTTCTCCCTCTCCTTAGCAACCTCCGACTCCCGCTGCTGCTGCTCTTCTTCCGCTTTCTTCCTAGCCTCTTCGGCTAGTTGCCTGTTATCATCCGCGAGCTGCTCGTCAGCTTGAATTTGCGCTCGGAATTGAGTCCTGAGGGCGTTGTTTTCAATTTCCCATTGGCCACGTAGCTTCTGCGCTGGTTCTTCATCGGTAGTGACATCAAGAGTGTCAGGGTCTACAACT